ATCTCAATGCTAGAACAGCAAGGTACAAAATGTTTAAGTAACATGATAATTCACAAATAAACATGAATTTCAGATTTATAAAAGGAAATGAAAACACGAATGCCCTGATACAGCAGGATAAAATATGCTTTTCTACACACAGAGTAAAGAGTAAAAATTATAAAGGGAAATATAGTTGCACATATAAGCAATTTTCAAAAACCATCTGCCATCTGCTGTGAAGACTTCAGTCCTGTCAACTCACTGAAATGTTTCTCAGGTTTATCTCTCTATCACCTCCATCATCTTGATAACCACAAGGAGCCTTGGGAGTGGTGTTGCTCATGTTCTAATCCCTCATTGTCTAGTTTGATAAGTTACGTTGACAACTGTACAATAAAATTGATAAGATCAAAAGACTATTGAGGATATTTCAAGTAGAAAAACTAAAGTCAGTGTCTCTCATAAACATGGACACAAACATTCAAAAGAAAAGGAAGATTTACCTCTGTCTCTCTCAGATAATCTGTCATGCCCAACTTGAATATACTTCAGAAGTACAAGGTTATTATAACATTACATAATTAATCCATGTAATGCATCATATTGACAGAATTAAGAATAATAACTTTGATTATCTTAATAGTAGCTGAAAGTCACTTGAAAGAAGTCAACAGTCATACATGATAAAACTCTCAGCAAGCCAGAGCAAGCCCGGAATAATGGAAAATCACCTTATTCTGATAAAGCATCTACAAATAATCCATCTTTAGAATTACTGAGGATTAGAATTGTTGAGAAATGGTACAGGCAATTCGACAGCAAACATCATACTTAGTAATAAAATATTAAACATTTTACTTTCCAAATTGTAAAAAATATGGAACCATCCACTATACAAAATTATAATGGAGGTCCTAAGACTGCAAACATTCAAAACAAATAAACAAACAAAATGCATGGAGTTTGGAAATGAACAAGGAAAATATTTGTATTTGCTAATAAAATTTGTACATCAGTTCTTAAAGAATCTAAAACTTAATCACTAGAAATAATAACTTAGCAAGATCTCTGCACACAATGTAAATAGAGAAATATCTGTGGTGGATTAAAGAATATGTAAGTAAATAGAGGATATTTTCATGTTTATAAAAGGGAAGACTTGATATTGTTAAGATTTCAGTTTTCTCCAGTTTGACTGATAGACTCAATGCAATCCAATTAAAATCTTCAAGGGGATTTTTGAAATTGAAAGGGTGATTCTAGAATTCACATGGAAATTCAAACAATGTAGAATAGTCAAGAAAATCTTAAATCTAAAAATCTGGTATTATGTCTTCTGACTTTATTTTTCTTCTCTATAATAAAGACAGTAATTAAGACGGTGGGTATACTATAGGTACAGAGATAAAGAGTCAAAAAAAAAGATCATTTATACACAGTCATGTGATTTTTATTTTTATTTTTGAGACGAAGTCTTACTCTGTCATCCAGGCTGAAGTGCAGTGGCACAATCTTGGCTCACTGCAACCTCCGCCTCCCATGTTCAAGTAATCCTCTTGTCTCAGCCCATCTGATTTTTAAGCACAGGCAATAGAGTGAAGTATAGGTTTTTCTTCAATTGTTGTTTGTTTTGTTTTGTTTCATTTTTACAGGGAATGATGAGGAGTTGTTGAGTACAAAAATGAAAATAAAATGAGACATCAAAATAAAATTCTTGTTCTGCCTCATCCAGGTAAAAATATGAATTAGAGGTAGACTGCTGTCTATATGTGAGAGGTAAACTAATGATGCTTCTATAAGAAAGCATAGGAGCATATCTGTAAGCCCTTTGGTGGTAAAAGTTTATTAAACAGAGGACACACATAAACACACAAAACAAACACAAGAGAAAAAATGACAAGTAAAATGACAAATTAGATTGCATTATAATTAAGAACTTCTAATCATATATATGTATATGATTAATATAACATTACGCATACACACACACACACACACACACACACAAACACACACACACAATTTGAACAGGAACTTCCCTAAAGATAAGATATGCAAACAGCCAATAAAAATAAACACATGAAACGTGACTCAACATCATTACCAATTAAGTGTAAATATTAATCATGATACAATTTCAGATTTATCAGTACAGATGTTTTGCAGGGGATATGTATAGTGCATCTTTGACATAATTAACTCTATCTCAGATAAAGGCTGCATTATATGTTTCATAGGGCAGCTTTCTAACAAGAATAGAATGTTTTGCCTAAAAAATAAAAAATAAGTAAAAATAAAGGCTGTGTCCCACCAGATATGGTCACAAACAAGCACATGCTTCCACTATCAGTTCTCACCAGAGGACTCTGTGACCATAAAAATGCAGGTTTTCAGTATCTCAAAAGGGCCATGTTAACTGACAACTGTCCCACTGTGGCTTGTGATAAGAACTCCACATCTGCCTAAGAAGGCTCTGCCACATCAGAGACTCTTCCTTGCAAGGACCGAGGGACCTTCAGGCCAGACCAGGATTGTTTTTGTCTTCTTCACTACTCTTGGACTGATTTGATAACCCTTTCTCCTTTTTTTTTCTTTTCTTTTTTTTTTTTTTTTTTTTTTTTT